TCCTTCATTCTGGCATACCATATCACCTTTGACGTTATAAAGTTTAGTAACCCTCTGCTTATTGTTATGTTTTTTGATTTTATAAGCCAACCATCTCCCTGGTTTATTTGCGTTTTCAAAGAAATTTTGTTTAGTACGTTTTATCTGCTGTCCTAGATCTTCCTTCATAATAATATCCATCTTATGTTTAATTAAATCAATCTGTTGTTTCAAATCACATCTTTGTGGTTCATTTTGCAGGTTATCCTCAACTTTACGTAGTTCTTCTTCTAGTTGTCTTTGGCGTTGTGTTTTGATTTTGTGTTGCCTAGCCATATAAGAAATTACAACACCTCTCATGTAGGCTTTGGTTGTATCCCATAGATTTTGGCAATTTGTATCCTCCTTCTTGTTTGACTTAAAAAACAGATCCAATTGTTCTTCTAATTTTGATTTGAATTCTTTATGATTTAAGATTGCCCTTTTTAGAGTCCATCTCCTCGTGTTTTTTTGCCCCTTCCATCTAATTCTAATCGGATTGTTATCAGCCCAGGTGTTTGTATCAATTACAATCTCCTCTATTTCTAAATTTAAGTCAGCTGACATCCACACCATATCAATTCTGGACCAAGATTGATGACGTCCAGAATAGAAGGTAAACTGTTTTTTCCCAGGATTCCTTTCTCTCCAAGTATCCTGTATATTAAACTCATCTGCCATTTTTAAGAAAATATCAGATATTGTTCCTCTAATTCTTTTTCTACTCTTTCCACATTTATAATCTAGATTATTATCCACAATTGCATTATAGTCACCCATTATGCAAATGCTATCATGTTCCAACTGGCTAATAATGTTGTAGAGTTTCTTATAGAAGCGTTTTTGCCCCTCATTCGGGGCATAAATTCCAACCAGAAGAATTTTGGTTTTATTCAAAGTTACTTCCACAATTAGAATTCTGCCATCTTCGTCCTTATAAATTTGCTTAGCCACAATTTCTTGTTTAATATATACTACCACACCTCCTTTCTTATATTGCGAAAGTGCTGCGAACATATTCCCCAGTTTAGGACAATTTCATAAATATTGATGTTGTTTTTTAATGTGGACTTCTTGTAAAATTATTATATCTAAATTCATCTTATTAAGCCTATTGAAAAACTTCTTCCTTTTTGTTGGAGAGTTGAGGCCGTTGACGTTGATAGATATAGATTCAACACATTTTTTCCCCTCCTTATCTATGTTTAGATCTAGTTACTATTGCTGGTCTAGACTCTTGAGTTTGTAAATCCTTCCCTCTTTCCACTGTTGATCTTATCGGTCTAGCCTCTTTAATTTCCTTAAACCTACTCTCCTCCTGCTTTCCTTCATTTTTCCCTTCCTCAATGTCCTCTCGAGGCTCAACTCTTTTACCTCTGGCTTCAATGGCTTGCACCAGTGTCTCTCCTTCCTCTCTCGCTCCTCTTTCAACTAAATCTTCCTTGCTACCAAAGTTTTCCTTGTAGAATTCCTCTGCTTTTTCTGTTGAGTCTAGGTGAAACTTTTTCTCCTGCCATGTTACCAGAATCCCTTCCGGAGTTAGCCATCTAAAATTGATATTTTTCCTTATCAGTTTGGAAGTTATGTATTGGTAAGGCTTTCTCAGGTCTCTCACTCTTTTGGGTACTTGTTTAACTACGATCAGCTGTTTACCTCGATATTCCAATGTATCATCTCTGAACCTGAAAAGAACTTCATCTCTAACTGATTTCTTAATAAATCTAATGTGCACTTCTCTGGGAAGATTGTGTCGTCTTACATAATTTGTATGTATTCTATAGGTCTCATCTATCTCGTTGGCCATCTCCTCTCTGGTAGACCCCAACGCTCCTGCTAGAATATCTGACATTATTACTGGGAGGTCTTCACCTTTCATCTCTCCTACATTTTGAAACCGTAGATAATGAGCAGCCTTCTCAAGTTCCAAAGAAATAACTGTGGTTTCTAATTCTTTGTTAGCTTGAATTAGCCTTTCATTCATTTCATCCACTCTCTGCTCTTCTTTATCCATCCTTTCCTCCATTTCTTCTAGTTTTTGTTCATTTTTCATAAGTTGGTGGTGGAAGGATTCAAATTTCCCATCCATAGATTTAATTTTATCTTTAAGTTCACCTTGTTGATAATTTATGAAGCACTTTAGGTATTGTTCTAGTATTGAGTTTGTTCCTTCTGTCTACCCATTCTTTGAGGATGATGACTGGATGACAGGCTCTGGTCAGTGCCCAGTAGGTCCAAAAAGGCTCTCCAGAACTTGGAGGTGAACTGAACCCCCCTATCTGAGATTATGCATTGTGGGGCCCCATGTAGCTGATAGATGTGTTGTACAAACATCTTACCCAAGGCTTTAGCAGTTGGAATTTTCTGATAAGGGATGAAATGGACTTGTTTGGAGAATAAATCCATTACCACCCGGATGACAGTGTTTCTTGCACTTTCTGGTAGCTCTACGAAAAAGTCCATAGAGATCTCCGGGGTGCTGAATGTTTTGCAACTGCCTGCAGAAGGCCAGGCATTTTTCCCTGTCTCCATTTAGCTGCTGCACAAACGGGGCAACTGGCCACATAGCTCTCAATATCCTTTTTTAAAGATGGCCACCAAAACTGTCTCTTTATTAGGTGGAGGGTTTTCATGAACCCAAAATGTCCCACTAGGTTTGAATTGTAGCAGAGCTGCATGAACTTTAATCTCAGGGTTGTAGGGATGTATAATTTTCCCCCTACCCAAGATAATCCTTCTTGCATTGAACAGAGGTTCTTGTGGCTGAGGAACCACTTTTCCTTTTCCAGGGCTTGCTTGAATTCAGTGGCTACTGTGCTGTCCAGTGGTGAAACGCTTTTAGTTTGCATCCTCATGGTGACTGGGGCTGTTAATTGCTTTGTGGGTAACAGGGGTTTGACTATTTCAGCCTTCATGCTGTTGTATTGTGGCATCTGTGATAGGACATCTGCCAAAAGGTTTTTTCCACCAGGTAAGTACCAGAGAGTAAAATTGAATTGGTGGAAGTGCTGGGCCCATCTAGCCTGTTTAGGGGACAGCTTCCTGGGGGTCTTTAATGCTTTCAGGTTCTTATGATCAGTCCATACTTGGAAAGGGACCTTGTTCCTTTCCAGAAAGTGCTTTTAGATGAGGAGGGCCCAGTGTACAGTATAAGCTTCCTTCTCCCAGATGGCCCATCACTGCTCAGTTTCTGTGAGCTTCTTTGAAGTGTAGGCACAAGGTTGCAACTGGCCTTCCTGGTTTTCTTGGAGTAGTACTGCACCCATCGCTACATTGCTGGCATCTGCCTGAATAATGAATGGTTTTTCCAGTTCTGGGGTTTTAGCACTGGCTCTGCAGAAAAAAAATAAATTTCTCAAATGTCACTTGGCATTCCATAGTCTATTTTAGTGGTTGGCTAGGTTTTGGCTTGTTTTCCCCTTTGGTTTTCAGTAGGTCAGAAAACTTTGCAGCTGTTTCCTCCTGCATGGCGAGGCCCACTCCAAAACAGCTCGCACCTTTTCTGGATCCATGTACAACCCTTCATGAAAGATTTGATAGCCCAAATAGTCAATTTTTTTCTTTGTGGAATTCACATTTTGAAAGTTTGGCATACAGTTTGGCTGCATGGAGCTTATTTAAAACTGCTCGGACTAATTTTACATGCTCATTTTGGTATAAATTAATATGTCGTCCAGGTACACAAAAACCTCCTTGTACAAATGCTCATAGAGGACCTTGTTAATTAGTTGCATAAATATTGCAGGTTCTCCCTATAGCCCAAATGGAAGTACTTTGAATTAGAAGCACCCCATGGGGCAGTTGAAAGCAGTTTTCCATTCATCCCCCTCCTTGATTCTAACCCAGTAATATGATTTCTGAAGGTCTAATTTGGAGAAAAACTTTCCCTTTGAGGGGTGGGCTAGCATGTCTTTCATGAGGGTCAAGGGGTATATATTATCCATGCACACAGCATTCAAACATCTATAATCCATGCAGAGATGAAGAGGCCCATCTTTTTTTCTCAAAATATCACCGGACTGGCCATTTTCAGTCTGGCTAGTTGAATGAAACCACGCACCAAATTCTTATCTATGAATTTGCGCAGTTCTTCTAACTCTCGGGAGGGGGGGAAATCATTGAATAGAGCTTGGGTTTTGGCAACTTAGCTCCAGGGATGATCTCAATAGCACAGTCTATGGGATGATGGGGGGGGGAATTCATTAGAGCCCTTCTCGCTAAAAACCTCAGCCAGGTCCTGGTAAGAAAGAAATACATTGAAGGTCTGACAGTTCCAAAGCATCAATGCTTTTGCTATCCTGCTACTTCAAAGTCTGATTTTTGCTTGAATGTCACTGGGAAAAACATTCTGATCTTAAACATCTTTTCCAAAACCTTCATTGCTTCTCTATCAAGTGGTAATCTGTGGCATATTTCTTGACTGCTGTTTTCTTTACTATAGAGTTGGGGGAGGGGCATATTTTTTGTCTGTTTTTGTGGTGCAATCATGTTAGTGTTGATTCCTGGTAAATGCCTGAATAAAGTTTTCTTATCAAGATTTTCAGAAGTGTTTGCCATCTTCCTAGGGCTGAGAGAAAATAACTGGTCCAAAGTCACTCAACAGGTTGGACTAGAACTCACGGTCTCCTGGTTTCTAGCCTAGTGCCTTAATCACTAAACCAAACTGTTGATCCCAAAAGATAGAAACTACCCACCACTTCAATATTTTCATTGTCAGTTGTAAGGTAAGTGACAGTAACTGTTGTCATTAGTTTGGTTTTCTTTATATTTATTTTTTCCCCACAGTGCTCCTTGATTTTCATTATTAGAGCTGAAAGTCTTTCATTTATTTCTTTATTTAAAAAAATTAAATCACCCAATAGTGAGTAGAAGCTCTCTGGGAAGTTTACAATAAATGTATATGTCAACTGCCCAGATGGCAAATCCAGAAAAAGGAACTCCTGGGACATTATTTTACCAAGAGTATAAAACTTTATTGAAAAAAACCACATTGACACAGAAGAAGCAAAACCAGCTCTAGGTTTCCCATGCAAAAGCAAGTGTAGTTAATTCCCCCTTTTCCCTCTGGGCCACCCAGAGTCCAAAATGTCCACCAATCTCTTCTGTTCATTTTGTTATGGGAATCAGCCAGCCACGCTGGGACATCTGCTGGGTGTGTCCTTGAGATGGCAGCAATGTCTCACAGAAGCCGATGGATGTTTGAATACTATTCTCCCATCCCTGCATTCCATCCACCCTCTCCCTGTTATTGTCAAGCTGATAGCAAAGGCAAAATGCAGGTGAAGACGAGAGTCAGTCTTGACATGCCAACTCCTCGGAAGAAGGGTAGACCTAAAACAATAATAAACATATACATATATTGTTACTTACAAACCAACTACTGCTGCATTTCTTATTGGGATTGCTGAGGGTACTTAGTGTGGAACTTCTTAACCAACTTTGTTTCCCTAACATCTGTAGCAGCCACCCACTCAGCATGCACTAATGGGTAGCCCTTCCACAGTACTAGGTATTGTAACTTTCCCTTGTAGTATTTGGAATCAAGGATCTTTTTGACCTCATGATGCTCCTCTCCCCTCACTAGGATGGGGGGAGGAGGTGGTTTTCTGACTGGTCTCAATCCAGAGTCTTGGAAGGGTTTTAAAAGACTGCAATGAAATACCAGATGAATCCATCTGAGGTTTTTTGGCAACTTCAGTTCCATTGTCACTGGAATTACAATCTGGGTGATTTGAAAAGGCCCTATATATTTGGGACCTAACTTTTTACAAGGTTGCCTCAGATTCAGATATTTTGTGGACAAGTACACCTTATCCCCCACTCTAAATTCTCTCTGGGAATCTCTACTCTGATCTGCTTGCCTCTTTTGAATTTCCCTAGTCAGTGCCTCACACATGGTGCCCCGTGTGGATTTCAAAGTATCTATCCACTCAGCCAACAACACTGAGGATGGGATACCCTGTGGGAGCTCTGGCATGGACACAAATTCAGTTCCCTTAGCCACCTTGAAAGGGATAAAACCTGTGCTACTGTGCACCGAGTTATTATATGCCACCTCTGGAATTCAGCCCATTTAGTCTACTGATAATTCACATAACAGTGCTCTACCAAAGAATTAGTACGCTCAGCAGCTCCATTGGTATTAGGATGATAGGTGGAGCTAAGTCCCTATAAGGAACCTATCATTTTCAAGAATTCCCACCAAAACTTTGCTGTGAACTGCACCCCTTTGTCTGAGATCTCATGTGGTCTATAGATGTGCTGCACAAACATCTTGGCACGATCCTGGCTGAAGGAATCTTCGGACACACCACAAAGTGCTCTTGCTTTGAGAACAGTTCAACGACAGTCCAGATTACAATATTCCCAGCATACTCAGGCAGCTCTATGATATCTCCTCCCAAGGGCTAGCAGGGTTGGCTATCAACTGTGGCAAGTCTGCAGGTAGGCACTTCATGGAGACACATACAGGGCAACTGGTCACATAGGTTTCTATGTACTTTTTCATCTTTGGCCACCCAAACTGTTTCATTGCAAAATGAAGGGTTTTCACAAACATAAAATGCCCTGCGGTTTTTGCATTGGGGTTCCTCTGCAGGACCAAAGTTCTCTGGCTGGCTGAGATGTACAATTTGCTCCCCTTCCATGCCAAGCCATCCCTTAACATCAAGTCATCCTTATGCCTTTGGAAACCCCCCCCCCCACAAGGCATCTTTTAGTGGCTGAATCAACAAGTCTCTAGCCAGCTGCAGAGAGGCCATTCTCTGCTGCCTTGTAAGTGCTGGCACTTACTATCAGGCACTTCTGTATTGGGCATACAAGGGAAGGCATTCATAAGGAAATTCTTTCCTCCCAGGAAGTAGTGAAGAGTTAGGGTTAAAGTGGTTAAAATACTGAACCTACCAGACTTGCTTAAAGGATAGCTCCTTCAGGATCTTTAATGCCTCTAGGATCACCTGGAAAATCCACCCTTTCCATTATACCCCAAGTACTCTTAGGCTGGTCTTGTGAAAATCACATTTAGTCAGCTTTGCCTTCCCTTTCCACTTACCCTTTGGACAACAGAAAAGTAAATCAATCTAAAATTTGCTGCATGCTAAGGTAAGGGCTGAGGTTTGACAAATTTTTGAAGAGGGCTAAAATGGCCAAAAGTAACTCCAGGAAACATTCAAGATGGTCCAGAAATAACATAGTAGGCCAGGTGCTAATGGCTGCTGCTGTAGTGAAATAAAAGAAGAGTTCTAAACACTTGTTTAGCAGCTTTTCAAAAGATGCTTCAATAGACAATTTAATATTGCCTGCCAATAGCTGACAGGTATATTTTTTATTTATCCCCAACATTCATAGTTAAGTTAAGGAAATTGCCCACTTCCCATTGCTTACTTCTTCATCCAATTCCTGTCCATTCACTGGTAGTTGGCTCTCTGCCCTCCACTTACAATAAACCAGAACCTCTATTATACCTCCAAAAGCATGGGTTTACCCAAGGGCAACTTTTCTACCTTAAGAAAACATCAGAGGGCGGCAAAGTTCTCTCCTGTGAAAAGGAACTGACTATACCTGCAAGTCACATACTTGCCAAGCTGGTTACCCCTAAGTTATTGTGCCACTCACTTGATCTTTGTACCTATGGAATTTCTGCATGCCCTGAAAAAACAGCAAGGGATATTCTACAAGAGCTGGCATTCAAATATTATCAGCACCAAAAATGGAAACATATCTGTCCATGTCATTTGTTCAAACCTTCCTAAATGTGCCCCAAACTTCATTGATGTGATTTGGCTTACAATTAGACATAAACAAAATAAAATTGTCAGAAAACAAAATATTTCTACTGCAATAAAATTAATCATATTAATCATGAATATGATAATTGAGATTTAGTGAACTGACTCAAGAAATTTAATCCATTCACATTTTTAACAGAAGATTGTTTTAAAAAGCTACCCAAATAGTCTTGATATGCTACAAATTATGCAAAGATTAATTTCTTAATTACAATAGAAATTATGAAAAAGTAAAGAAACGGGGGGGGGGAGGAGAGGGAGGGCACAATAAATAGCAGCCCAATTCCTTGCCAGAGGCAATCTGACTTTGGAGGTAAGACTAGTTGGAAGCAGCAATAACTGCCTTAGAGCAGAGACTGAAAGTTTAATAGGAAACCAGCTGACCTGAAGGAGAATAATTAGAAAGGTTAAATGACTTAATATTAGATTAATATCTACCTGGAGGAGAAAAGCAGATTCCTGTAAAAAGAAAAAGAGCACTGCAGCAAATTTCTGTTGTGGTCTCACAGTTTTCCCCCTTCTCTCGGCTCTGTCTCTCTCTTTCTGCTCTCAAGGACAAGTTAGCTTCTCCTTCCCCACTTCCCTTCCCATAGACAATTTATCCTCAGACACATGAGCTGTCAGCTCAGCACAGCTTCCAGAAAATGGTATCTAGTCATCTAACGGGCTTTCCTCTCTATGGGGAAACCCAGACTCACATTGCCTGGAAGTCTGAAAAGAAGGAAAGAGGAGAACATTTCCTGGCAATCTGGTATTCCCTCACATGCCTATGTGAGTGAGAGAAGCCAGAGGCTAAAGAATCTTAGCATATATTAAACTATAGGCAAGTGTGCTTGAGTGGGATGTTGGGAGTTACTCTTCAAAATATTGGATTTAAATTAATTAACCTAAATTGGAAAGAAATACATTTAATAAGAATATATCACAGAAAGTTATTCATTTCACTCTTTTGTCATATTAACAATTAGAATTCATCAACAGGTAAGAGTCCCCAAACTGGGTTTAGCGGCAATTTGAAAACTAAGGGTATGCTATTGAATGCCCTCACCAAAGGCTCTTGCAGAGGCTTTGGCCAGTCACAGAATAATTATTTCCTATCAGGAAAACCAATGAAGTTATTTTCCTCAGGTGCAGGGGTTTTCAGACTTTTTGAGGCCATAGGCCTGTTAGTAAAATAAAAAAGTAAAAAATCCCTGAGCCCCTATTCTCTGCCTCTTCAAACACACAGAGAGCAAAGAATCATGATGAGCACAAGAAACTGCCCGGGGAAGAGGAAAAGGCTTCTGAAGATCACCTGGAAAATCCACCCTTTCCATTACACCATAGAAAAATGATTAGGGATGCTTCCTCTCATGGAACCCCACTGAGTTCTCACATAACCTCCAGGCTTCCACAGGACATACCCTCCCTAACACACCAGAAGCTCCACAGCTGAACTCAACTTATCTTTGGCTCTGACTTGTGGCATTTTTGGATATAAATATAACACTGTCTCTTAATTTTACAACATGCCACTTTCAATTTATTTTCCTTTAATTAAAGAATTATATTTTTAAAAATCAGTTTTTTATTAGAATCTGGCAGGTGCTATGGAAGGAATAGTATTCATTTCTATATATTGTTGAAAATTCTGATTCTAATTTTGAATCTAGTTTTGGAGGCAGATCAGTTTACAGCACAGAAATTCTCTGGACAACTTCAAAGCTGATCTCATCTAAAATACTTCTTCTGATTCTCTACTATGATACAACATGTCATATCTGAGTTCATTTTAGAAGGAATCTCTTCCTTCCAGGACTTGAAAGGGGGGAGGTCCAAGACTGAATGATGCACTAGCCCAAAGAACTGGTTTTTGGTAATTGTTCTTCCTTTAATTGCATAATATTAGAGTGGGGGAGGGAGTATTGATTTCATTTTGATCTGGCTTCATGACAATCTCACAGAAGTTCTCTTCACTGAGAAACAGTTAATATGGTTCAACAAATCACTACTGCAGTATCAGTTTGAAACTCCATTGGTCCTCTAATAATCTCTAACAGGATGTCCTAAGAAAGTTTAAATTCTAGATAACTGTAGCAAGAAACAGACAAATCTATCTTGTTTGATACTGATATGGCATGCTAATGCCCCCTGGCAGAAAATATTAAGAGTTGTAGGACATGTTGAATGCCACTGGACTCTCATTTTTGTTGCAGAATAATACCCTGCTGATCTGCTTTCATCACAGTTTTCATAAGCAATCCTATTGTGGCTATAATGGAAAAATGGCATTAGGTTGGCAAACAATGGGAAAACAGCACCACCAATTGACCAAGGCAATTCTTGTTCCAAATGAAGATCTAAATAAATATGGCCATCTGGCATCACCACTTTTTGTGCAATCTTTTATGCAATAGGGACCTCTAGTGATTTGCTAAATTGTGAATATCATTCATAGAATAGAATAGAGCTGGAAGGGACTTTGCAGGTCTCCTAGTCCAGCTCCCTACTCAAACAGGTCAACCTATACCATTTCAGACAAGTGACAATCTAGACTCTTCTTAA